AGACCGGGAGGAGCCAAGACTTCCGGCCGGGGGGCCTGGACCACCAGCCCCGCGAGGCCGGGGTCTTGAGCCGGCGGAGGCCAGGACGTCTGGCCGGGCGGGGCCAAAACTTCTGGCAGAACCGGGCCAAAGTTAACGGATGGGTGGGGCCGGCACCGTGACCGCCGGCTGGGCGGGGCTAAGCATTCTGGCCGGGCGGGGCCAAGGCTAATAGTGGGCGTGGCCGGGACCCCGGCTGGGCGGGGCCAAGACTTCCGGCCGGGCGGCCCGGAAGACTCCGCGGCGCAGGGATAGGGAGCAGTAGCCCTGGCGCCCCTTCACCCGGGCGGGGGGCGTCCGCGAGGCGAGCCCTGGACTGAGTACCGGCATCCAGGTCTCGCGGCGCGACCCAGGGCCGGCCCTCCGGGGCACAGGAGGGGTCAGTGAGCTGGAGACCCACCCAGCCTCTGGCCACTGCCTGGGCAGGGCATCTTGGGCCCTCCGGGTCTCTTAGGGAGGCGGCAGGATTGGCTAGCCTTTCTTTGCATCCCTGGGTACACACGTGGGGCTGGGGACGATTTACAGGACTTACGGTGTCCAGAGAAGTGGGACAAAGGCCAGGAAGTTTTCTGGGACTTTAAGCAAATGCCAGAGGCCAAAGCAAATAAGAGTCGCTGCTAAGTCCTTTCAGAGGTCCAGCCCATACATGTGTTATTGCTAACCCGGACAGCTGATTCTACTGGTGTTCTCCGCATTGTACTGGTGAGCAAACAGGCTGAGCCGTTCGGTAACTCGCCCTGGGTCCCACCGCTGGCAAGTGGCAGGACCTGGGCTGTGCCTCACCTGGACTTCATGAGCTCAGGACGTTACGCTTTAAAATAGGTGGTTTGTTTCTTTAACCACTTGGGAGGCTCCACTCCCAGGGTTTCTGATTTAGTAGGTCTGGGGTGGCCCAGAGTGTGGGGGGCTAACAAGGTCCTAGGTGCTGCTGGTGCTGCTGGCCCTGGACGCCTCACTGCTGGAGGTTAGGGATTCCGATGCGAGCACGGGTCCCTCCCTCTTTGACAAGAGAATCCCTGGTGTTTTTACATTTTCCTTTTATACCTGAGGTTCCTGTTTGGAGTTTCTCAACATCTTGCCACCTTCAGGTGAGAACAGCAGCCATGGGCTAAGCAGACAAGCCGCCCTGTCAAATCCCAAGAGTCATCAGAGGCATAATCCGTTGCAATGAGAAGGGCGGGAAGCAATTCAGAAGCCAGGGGATTGCTGACCAGCCTTCACGTGTATTGGACACGTGTGATGACCTCCATAGTGGAAAGGTTGCAGGATATGTGAGCAGAAATTCAGAGAAGGTGACATCTGAGAGCCCAGGGCGTGTGAGAGATTCTCTCCGATGTTAGAGCTGGGGAGACTGGAGCCCTCTCAGACGAATCACCGGTACAGGTTTTCCTTCTTGCTCTTGAAATGCACATTTCCTGGGAGCCGGCCAGAATTCTGTGTTCAGATTCGGCTCCCGCCATGTGTTCAGGTAGAGAAACCAGCACCTCTGCAGAGGACTGTGATTTCAGTTCTGGGATTCCATCCTCATGGGAGATAAGTAGAAGCAGCCCACCTGAAAATTCCCTTAAAACCTTTGCGATCATTATCCATTGCCCTAGAGGAAGCCCTCCCTCCTGAACTATTACAACAGTGCCATGAGGAGGGGCAAGTTACATCCCATGTTGCAGTTGAGAGACCATGGGCTCGGAGAGGCAGTGACCTGCCCGATGCCACCCAGCTAGGAAGGTGCAGCAGGAAGTTCTCACCTCATTCTCTGACTCCAAACCATGTGCTTCCACTGCTCCCAGACGTGTGTTTGTTTGAAGCGAGGGTGGACAGAGGGAGAAGTAACATTGGTCACCTACTCTGTGCCCAGGATTATGCTGGACGCTTTGCATTTACCAAATACGATTATTCCATGAACGCCTCTTAAGTCTGTAGGGTTGGCATTATTACCCATTTCACGGATGAAGAAATAGTCTCTCTGCTGGCAATGGGTAGATTTAAGACTTGATCCCACTGAGATGGGAGCACGTGGTTAGCATCCTTTAAAGGGGGCCAACTCCTAGTCAACTGCAGTCTTGTAAATGATACAAAACGAGAAGGTAGTGCTGAGAAGTCACTGAGGATCCCACAGTGGTGCCTGACGCTTTGTGAGCACTCACTAAACATTAGCTTTTTTGTTTTTGACTCAGTCCATAAAGTTTATTTTAAAATTTGGAAGGAAAACGGGAGGGATCAATGCTACGGAAAGCCCAAGGAGTGAGCTTGATAGGTGGTAAAGGGTCTGAGTGAATACAATAAAACGTTAATCTCTTTCCTTCTTTCCCGTCCTTCCTCCTTGACGAGCTGCTATTCTTTGTGACAAATGTCCTTGATCTGCAAGAAGTTCTTCCGAAGACTTAGAGTCTGAGGAGATCTTTATGGTGGAGATGGGAGTGTCCTGGGCCCGAGGCCAGGGTGGGACATCTATGCTCCTCGCAGACCTGTCCTTTGTCCTTTGCTGCCCTATCTCTAGTGACTTTTTTTTTTAAGATTTTTATTTATTTATTTGAGACAGAGAGAATGAGAGAGAGAGACAGAGAGAGCACATGAGAGGGGGGAGGGTCAGAGGGAGAAGCAGACTCCCTGCCGAGCAGGGAGCCCGATGCGGGACTCGATCCAGGGACTCCAGGATCATGACCTGAGCCGAAGGCAGTTGCCCAACCAGCTGAGCCACCCAGGCGCCCCTCTCTAGTGACTTTTATCAGCCTCAGGGTCCCTCCTGGAATGTCCTACCTTATCTTGACTCTTCTCGATCTTAGGGGCAATCCAAACCTCATTCCTCCCTGAAGTCTTGGTATAATCTGTGAGCAGTTACTGGGTCCCCTGTAACCACCCGCTAAATCTCCATCCCTAGCACTGGACAGTCTGTCTGCTCATTTTCCTGTAATCTCCAGCATTTTATACACCGATCTTCATATTTGTGGATGAGTGAACATAACCGTCTGGGGCTATCTCTTCTGAAGGAGGCAGGTGTTATTTCCTCTAAATGCTAGGGCTCAGGAGGGCGCACCACATACTATTGGGCTCTATCCCCAGGGTCTAGGACAAGGTCTTAGTAAACACTAATCATTTCTTAAAAGAATACATTTTCTGGACTTGTTCACACATTGAATCAAGTCACTGCTGCTGGAGGGTCAAGTGACCAAGTCCTTTAGTAGAGCAAAAAAGGTGAGCCCACCTTCTCCCTGAGTGGCCCCTGTGGGCCTGTTCTGGGCCCTCCCTCAAAAGCCATTCTGGATGTACCAAGTTCCCGGGTGGCCTAGAATGGGACCAAGCCAATGGGGATGGTCCTGTTGTTGAGGAGGCTCAGCCTCCCCTGCAAACTGTCCCATCCACCCTTTCAGGTGCCTTTAAAATCCTCGGAGGCGTGACCCCCTCCTTCCCTCGCCCCATACTCACCCATCAGCACAGGCTGCTCTAGCCAGAGTCCCCCTGCCTCTAGCACTGTATCCCCATCACTTTGGCCCAAGCCCCCTCACCCCTCCTGGATCACTGTGGGATGTCTGTCATGAAATGACCAAGGCAGGTCATTCACCACTGGGTTCAATTTTGCTGTAGATCTGAGTCATCTCCAGTGGTGAGTGGTAGATGCACAAATCTTGCTATTGGGGTGGGGGGGCATTGCAAGCAGACTGGACTCTGGGCCATGGACCATCACTTATTAGCAAGGAGGCCCTCCGCAGTCACAGAACCTGCTCTGTGAGCACACGGAGGGCTGAAGACCTGTCTTTTTAGGTGTTGTCACAAGCTTCCTTGTTCAAAGATTTAGTCCAAAGTACAAGCAACAATATTTGAGGAACGAGATCCAGCCAGCCTTCAATTCGGGATCAGATGATGGCGTCCTCAGCAGCTTGAACCTGAGGCCAGACGGACGTCTAAGACCCAGGGCCCACCGAGCCTCATGCGCTGTCCATGCGAGAGCAGAGTCCCTTGGGCAGCACCTCATGTATGGGAACTCTGCCGTTGCAGCATCCGTGTGCTCACGAGCAGATCCCCTCCTGCCCAGGTGCTCTCACGCTGTGGAGGCATTGGAGGAAGACCCTCTGGAGTGTGGGCTTCTGCAGAAAGTTCTCACTGCCTCAGGCAGCCCTTCTCCAAGCACAGTCCCTGGGACCGTTTCAGAGAGTCTGTGAGGTCCGCAGTATTATCTCCATAACAGAAATATAATTCTCACGAGTGCAGAGTGGAGTCTCCAGGACTGACACTCTTCTCACTAAATGTTTATTGTCTTTGAAAATATTCTTTTTCATAAAAATACTTGAACCAAGCTAACATATAATGGTGTTATTGTTATTTATTTAAAACACATTTTAATACAGCCATAGGGGTCATTTGCAATTTTAACTTCGGATAAACATGAATAATCTGTATTAACAAAGTTCGGGGCCTCAAATTTTAAGAGTGAGAAATAGTCTTTTTTTAAGATTTTATTTATTTATTTGACAGAGAGACACAGCGAGAGGGAACACAAGCAGGGAGAGTGGGAGAGGGAGAAGCAGGCTTCCCGCGGAGCAGGGAGCCCGATGCGAGGACTCGATCCCAGGACCCTGGGATCATGACCTGAGCCGAAGGCAGATGCTTAATGACTGAGCCACCCAGGCGCCCCAAGAGTGAGAAATAGTCTTGAGACCAAAATGTCTTAACACCATCGCTTTGTGGTTCAGCAAGCTTTCTCTGTTTGGGCCAGATGGGAGAGTTTCAGCTCTGCAGGATACCCAGTCACGGTCTGTGCTCCACCTACCTCTGCTCTGAAAGCTGCCATACCAGGCATGTGGTCTTGGCTGTGTTCTAGCTAGACGTTACGTACCAGCACTGCAACCTGAATTTTATATAATAAAGTCCCTCAAAGCATTATCTTTTGATTTTTATGAGCCATTTAAAAGTGTAAGTGTAGGGGCGCCTGGGTGGCTCAGTCGTTAAGCGTCTGCATTCGGCTCGGGTCATGATCCCAGGGTCCTGGGATTGAGCCCCATGTCAGGCTCCCTGCTCCGGGGGAAGCCGGCTCCTCCCTCCCTCACTCCCCCTGCTTGCGTTCCCTCACTCCCCCTGCTTGCGTTCCCTCTCTCTCTGTGTCTCTCTCTGTCAAGTAAATAAATAAAATCTTTAAAAAAATAAATAAAAATAAAAGTATAAGTGTAAAAACAATTCTTAGCTGTCCAAAAGGAGGCATTGGGCCAAAGCTTGTCCATGGGCTGTAGTTTTCTGTAGTTATGGGTTTCTGTAGTGATGGGTTCAAACCCCTAACACACACATACACCACATTATTTCAACTGAAATGTTTAAAGACAATATAACAGCTTTGCCGCTGGTTCTGACACAGGGCCCCTGAACCCTTTGTAACCTCCTGGGTGACAGGAGCGTCCTTCATTCTAATGAGGTGACCCCCCGATGGGCTCCTGGAGGGGATCTGGTCATGAGAAAGCCAGCAGCCATTATCAGAAGTTTGGCATTTTCTGCCCAGAGAGGACTTTAGACCAGGGAGGAAGCAGTGCAGGTGGGAAGTATCTAATTCTAGATCACCTGTAAAAATAGAGCTGACCCTGAAGTCTTCTGACCTGAGCAACTGGAAGACTGAGTCCCGGAGCAGGTTCCCCGCTAGTTTTTGCTCACATATAGAAAGAAGTGATAGCAGAGCACAGAAGATATTGATGAGGGAGCAGAAGGCTGGCTGAAGACAAAGCACAAGCTGACCCCCCGCAACCTCCCCCCACCCCTGGGTGGGACCTGTGTGACTCTTCCAGGAATCTCCCAACTACCTTAATGTTAATATCTTGCTAGAGAAAAACCACCTTAACTTGACAATGCAAGGCCTCCAGTGCCCTGTAGGTCCTCTTTAGCGTATCAAAGTTCTTTTGAAACCTCCCCTTTCCTTATCTTCCCCCAATCCCATAGTATATAATCAGTCACCCCTCAGAACCCCAGGGCAGCAGCTCTTTCTGCCCAGGGGTTCTGTCCCTGGGCTTTGATAAAAGCACCATTTTGCACCAAAGACGTCTTAAGAATTCTTTCTTGGCTGTCGGCTTGGAACCCTGATGTCATGTTTTCTACATCAGGTGGCTTGGAACCCTGATGTCATGTTTCCTACATCAGGTATGTTAAATTCCAGTGCAGGCCTGAGCTCATGACCCGGAGAGCAAGACCTGAGCTGAAATTGAGAGTCGGATGCTTAACTGACTGAGCCTCCCAGGGGCCCCTATGCTGGACATTTTAAAAAGTTTGTGTTTCTTTGGCTGTGAACCGATTGTTCAGGTCCCTTGCCCATTTATTTACTAAAGTTCTAATATTTAGGAAAATAAATTAGGGAAGCCCTACTGAAATAAATGTGTGCTCCTTTTATAAAAAGTAAAAAGAAGCATTTGGTATGTGTATTTTGCTGATTTATTAAGAACGCTGTCTCGATTAAAAACATTGTCTAGAATAAAACACACTTGGATTGGGTAGTGCTGTAGTCCTAGACAAGGGCACACCTTCTAGATCCTTCTCCTGAGTGGCAAACACTGCTAATGGTATCTCTGGATGCTACAAAGTGCAAGGACAGGAAATAGGGGCGTGTCCAGAGGAGAGTGACCCGCATGTTGGAGGAACTCAAGAATGTCTGAGGGGTTCTGGAGCCTGTGGCCTGGTCCAGGGAACGGCTCCCAGCTGGGCCCGAGGCAGCTTTTTGTCTCCCCGATGTCCCTGCAGCTGCTCAGGAGTCAGGGAGCACCTTGTTGTGGGAGTCGGACTGGGAAACCTCCGAGGTCTGTTTCAGTTCTCAGCACCTGGGCTTCTGAAAATCTGATGCTTTTCTGCCTCCAAGTCTTTGCTGGCACTGGTCCCTTCTCCCGGCCCTGGTCCCTTCTCCTGGCCCCGGTCCCTTCTCCTGGCCCCATCTCAGGCTGCTGACTTCTTAGCTCTCCAAGGACTGCTTTAAATTCTATCTTCACAGTGGAATCTTCCCCAACCAACCCCACCCTGTTCACAACCCTTCAAACACCCATCACTGTCTCAAGTGTCTGGGTTTCTCTCTCACTAGACCTGGAGGGTAGGGCTGGGGCTTACTCGTTTCTTCTCCTCACAGTGCCCCTGATAGGACTCCTCCTCTTGGGAAGCCTTGTTGAACTGATGACCTCTCGGTAATTATGTTTCCCAGTATAAAGCAGCACCACTGCATCCCGCTGTACCTCCGTTTCCTCATGGGGTTATTGTGGAGATTCAACAGAGACTGGAGAAAGTCACTCCGTCTTTGTTTTATAGTCACTGAGCAGAAAACATGCTGGTTTCTGTTCCAGAAGGAAAGACAGCTGGAGGAAGATCTCAAAGGTACACAGCAGGAAAGAATGTAAGGTTCCCCGGGGGGGGGGGGGGTGGGGGGGGGGGGGGGTGGGATGGGAATCAAGCGCTGGGGAGCTCTGAGCAGGGAGCAGGGATAGGTGGGCAGGTCTTGGGGGTTTCCCCGGAGGAACCAACACCCCAGCTGTCTTAACAGGTGGCTGGAATTGCAGCAGGTGGTAAGGGGATGAAAGGGCAGCCAGGCAGAGGGAATGGCACGCCCGTGGGGCGAGTCAAACATGGGAAGCATTTGGGGGCTGGCCAGCAGTCCTACTTGGCTGGCGCTCCAGGGGCTGGAAGGGGCTGGACTGTGGGGCTGGAAGGAGGGGCAGGAATATGGCTGAAAATAGACATTGGTGAGAGGTGACCGGGAGTTCGGGAGCCAGGGTGGTCCTGTGAGAGGGAAGGAGGGCTGGTGGGGGCAGGGCAGGGCGCGCCTGGAGGGGACGGAGGGAGGGTCTGTGAACCCTTCAAGGCCGGACGGCCAGGCCCAACGACAGCCAGGCGTAGCTGCGGTTGGTTGTTTTATCTCACGAAGGCCTTGGGCTTCATTTCTTACCTAACCATCACCTTGCACGGCGGGCAGGGGAGGCCTACTGCAAGTCGCCGCGGCCCCCGGGTCCCCCGGGACGAGGCTCCCCCGGCCACCCCTCTCTGGGACGAGGCCCCCCGGGACGAGGACCCCCCAGCGCCTCCCGGCACCCGCGCGTCCCCGCACCGCCTGCAGCCTCGCCCGCGCCGGCCGTGACGCCCCACGCCGGGGTCCGCCGGGCCGCGTCGGACCGGACCCAGCGCTCACTACAGACCGCCGGACTTCTGGGGCCACACGTCGGTGACGCTGTCACACCACAACAAGCATCTGTGAAGTGAGCGAGCCGTCCCCGTACCTGCACGAGGTCGCAAACTGCGGGGAGCCACCGCGTCCCGCCAGCCCCCGCACTGCAGTAGCCGGGAGGAGGGGACAGGGCCTTCCCGGAGGCTTCCGGGTCGCGCCTCTGCACGTGACTGAGAGGGGAGCCAGGCGATTGGTCAGCGGAGACGGCGGCCGTCCAGGGCGGGACCAGGCAGGGGCGGGGCCGGGGCTCCGGGCCGGGGCCTGGTTGTGGGCGTGGGCGTGGTTCCGCGGTGGGCGGGGCTCCAGTCCGGACTGCGCGACTGCGCACTGCTGTCTCTGCTGTCGTCGCGGCGCCAGGAGGGACGCGATGGCCGGGCCCGCGTGGATCTCCAAGGTGAGAGCCGGGCCGGCGGGTGTGCTGCGGGCGGGCCGCGCGGGCCTCGGCGGACGGGGACTGTGCGGGCGGCCCTGCGCCCAGACGGCGGCGCCTGAGGCGGGGCCAAGGTCACGGCCGGGCCCGGGTGTGCCCGCGAGCGCCGCGCCGGGGCCGGACCTGCGCCTCGCGCCGGGGCGGGAGTGGGGGGGTGGCCCGAGCGCGGCCGGCGGGGCCGGAGGGTGGCGGGGGAGGGGCTGTCCCGGGCTCGGCCGGCAGGGCCGGCGCCGCGGGGCTCGCGGGGACACCCGGGCCCGCCATCGGACGGCGCGGGTTCCCCGGCACCCGGGACATCCTAACCCAGTCCCCCGCCCTGTCACTGGGGAGAACCCCGCGACCTCGAGGAGAGCTGTCGCTGCCCTTGACAGCTAGGGCCGGGGCCGGAGCCGGAGCCGGAAGGGGCGTCAGGGCCCCCTGCAGTTCCTGGGTTCGCGTCTTGCAGACTCTGCCGCTCAAGGTCAACGCGGGGAGTCGGGGTCGGAAGTGGGGGCTGCCCCCAGGTGTCCTGCTTCCTAGTTCTCAGTCCCATTCTCCCTACTCGTAGCCAAGGTCACACACAAATAACAGGCACGGGGAAAAGTAGGCCCTCGGGTCTCCTGTTGAGCTTCCCGAAAGGCCCCCTAGAAATCTACCGTAAGCAATTCCATTTATTTTATTTTATTTTTTTTAGTAAAATTTGGTGCTATGTTTCTCCTTTGCTTTGAGCTTAAAGAGCATCTCAGATCACTGTCATTTAGTGAAAAGAGCTCTACGCTGGAGGCCTACACCAGGAGATCTAGGTTTGAATCCCGGGAGATGCTACTGATTGGCTGTGTGACCTTGAGCACATTACTTTACATCTCTGAGCTTTGTCTGCCGGTCTGTAGAATATCTATGCTTGCCTCACAGAGTTGTTTGAGGATTAAATGCAGTAATGTGAAAGCATTAGTACATGCAGAAGGAGCACACGAATCTGAGGCTTTCCCAGCATTCAGTACATTTATCTGCAGTCACGAGCAGACTGGTTCTTGGGCCTCAGTAAGTGGGTTCTGCCTCGTTACCCCCTCCAGACCTGGCTTAGTGCGTCACGGTCACTATTCTGCCACATTTGCTCCTGAAGGTAAAGCGATTTCTGTGCCACTGTCTCAACAGAAATCAAACCTTTCATCACGGAGTTCACCCCACTTAATACCTGACTTATCTTTGGTAGGTCCGTCGAGCCTTCAGAGGTGGTCTAAAGCAGCACTGTTGATAATGGATGTGTGGGTCGACTTGCTCTGCCTGTAGTGTGGACTGCAAGAAAAAATCACATAGTGGGTGTTCAGAAAGTGTTGGGCTGTGGAATCAGATGAGGTTCTCCCCTGTCACGGACTCCCGTGTGGCCCTTGGCCATCACGGGACCTCTGTGGGGCCCGTTTTTCCCTTTAGGGGTTGGAGCAGAAGGTGCCTCAGCCCCATGCCCCAGGATGCTGGGGATGCTGGGTTGATGTTTCAATCAGAGCAGTTCCTCTACTGGGGTTCCATGTAGGGTTTAATTTGAAAAAGTGGTCTGCAGCTTAAATTTTTTTTCTAAAAAACATTATTTAGAGAAAATACTAGGTTTCTAAAGACCTGTCTGGTTCTAAAATGCTGTAATTATGAGCCAGCTCCCCAGCAGCAAATATTTATTAGTGAGTACCTGCCATACATCCAACATTGTATTTATATGTTTTTAAGTTAGATCATGAAGGTAATAAAGGAAATGGGGAACCGTGGATTCCGATGGCCCAGGACCTGAAGTCAGAAGTTCAGTTCATGCTCTGTGAGCCTGGCCTTAGTCTCCTTATCTGAAAAGGGCCACTAATACCTACCTCTCCAGGTGTAATAGAGATAACATAATGTAATGTATGTACAGGCACGTTATAAAGTACAAGACAGTCTCTGCCTTTAAAAAATCTCATTTTATGTACAGTTCTGGGTCATTTTAATGACTTAGATGTATACTGCCTTACTGTAAGACCATGTGGGAGAGATGACAAACATGGACCAGACTGATTGGTAGAGAAAATCGTCGCAAGTATTAAAGATGTTTGCTGGGATGGGGATTCGTCAGATAAAAGAGATTATTGAGGCTGGCTTGTGTTTCTCCAGAAAATACTCATTGAGCACCTCCTATGAGCCCCGTGCTGTTGTAGGCACTGGAGATCCAACAGTGAATAAAACATAAAAATCTTTGTGCTTGTGGATTGACATTTGAAATCACTTGTTTGTTGCGTCTTTTGTCACAAAGACATGGTCCTGTTTTGTATGAATGTCTTCCCCCTCTCTCTGGCCTGGGGTGGGCAGAAGCACTCGTGCAAATTTTACAATGTTCCTGTCACCGAGTAGCTTTTACACGGCCTCTCTTCCAGCAGCCCATCTGTCCGTGGATGAATCATGTTCTAGGATTAAGATTTTTGCCGGTGGTTTTGGCATAGAGTGTCCTTTTGAGTCTGGCCCTGTTTTTTATTTTCAGTCCAGAGAGATGACTGTAGATGCCAGGTTAGGGAGTACAGTTCATTCACACCTGCTTGGCTGTTGGTTGGTGTCTCTAGTAGATGCTAGTGTGACAGCAAAGGGTCGGGCCTTATGAGAACAGTCCCCAGAAAGGAAGACTAAGGCGGCATATAACAAATGTATTTTTGCTTATGTATCTAGCATGAAAAGAAGTTACGTTTATAATTTGTAATGAATTTTAGTACCTTTGGTCTATGTACCCAATTTCTTAATAGGACTTTGTACCAGTTTTCAACGACTCAGTTATTAAAGTTCAAAGTAACTTTTCAGATTTCTGTTTCTAGTGTCTGATAGTGTTGAGTGGAAACCACTATACCAGTGGTAACATCTTGGGCTAGTGGAGTTAGGGGGTCACTTTTCTCTTTTCTGCCTCCCCTTTCCTGGCAATTAACAATTACATAATGACCATGTCATTATTGTTAATGACCGTGTCATTACTTATCAGAAAAAATAAGTAAAATCTTCATTCTGTATGACACAGGTGTCAATGGTATTAAATAAACTTCGTTAGATTTTTGATATTCTAATAAGTGTAATTACTAAATATTCACGGGAGAAGAGTAGGCACAGTGTGTAACTGAAGGAACACTGGACTAGGAGTCAGGAGACCTGAATTCTGGTCTCTGGTCACCCTGTGGCTGCAGGCAAATCCTGACCCGTGAAACACCGATGTCTCTGCCTGTATAATGAGTGAGTTGGGCTCTGGAATTTTTAAGGACCCTTCCAGCTCTAAAATTAGTGATAGTTTTCTTAGAGGATGTGTTTCCCCCAAATTGACACAGTAGTCAATAATGTTGATATAAAATCTTCCAGATCATCTGAGGAAAGTCCAGTGTTTGAACTAAAAAGGGATAGTTTCATTCCACCTTCAACATTTTTTGACAACATATTCATCAAATCAAATTTTAAAATATATAGTACTTAAAGCAGAGATAAACCAGATATTTAGGTTTTCAAATCTGAGATAGCTTGTCACATTGAGCTAACACATGAGACAGATATTCGTAGAAGTTCCTGAATATATGTGTGCAAATTTGCAGCATCATCAGCCTTCAGAAATGGCCTCATCCCTACTCCTCACTATATGTGGTTTAATTCTGTGCATGACATTTTTTTATTGATATTGATGTAGGTCTCTCGGCTGCTGGGGGCATTCCACAACCAAAAACAGGTGACCAGAGGTTTTGCTGGTGGTGTGAGTATAATTACATCTTTTATTTTCCTTTTAGAAGTTTCTCAAGAAAGATGCTCTAACACATTTATTACATAGTTTTTTTGTCGCCATTTATTTAAAATTAGGGAAAACTTGTCATACTTATGCTGGATATTGAAGTTATGGCTAACACGCATAAATCCATCGGATCACTTGCACATTTAAGAATTACGTTACAGGGCGCCTGGGTGGCTCAGTCGGTTGAGCGACTGCCTTCGGCTCAGGTCATGATCCTGGAGTCCCGGGATCGAGTCCCGCATCGGGCTCCCTGCTCGGGCTCCCTGCTCAGCAGGGAGTCTGCTTCTCCCTCTGACCCTCCCCTCTCTCATGTGCTCTCTCTCTCTCTCATTCTTTCTCTCAAGTAAATAAAATCTTTAAAAAAAAAAAAAGACTGAATATATTTAAAAAAAAAAAAGAATTATGTTACAGCTGGCTCTGTAAGCCTGTCACATTAATGTCTTAAAGTAGCCTGGTTAAAAATAGAAATCACCCTTGAGCCTGTTACTTCACTTCGAAATCTCATTTTGGTAAGACAATTTTTTTCAAAACTTGTACAAGTTCAGAGAGAATTGTTGAGAAGCTTCAAAGCCTGCTTTGCATTTTTATTTTGTGAGCTTCCCTAAAAACAGTAGATTGACCACTGTTAGGAATGCCTCAAACTTGTCTGAGCCCTATGGGCTCACACGTCCTTATGCAGTCTTTGTAGACATGATAGTGGATCTCCTATTTCTTATTAAATCTGCTGCTTTTAGAATTCCCAGCATTAGAATTCTGTGCGTTAGAAGCTGATACCACATTTTTAGAGCATTCTAAGACTGTGGGTCAGTGACTTCCTGTTTGTTTTTATTTTACCCCCTTCTTATAGAATCTGATTTGGATTTCATAATTCCTCTACTCCCATATAATGTCTTACTCTAGGAGGGATTTATAAGACCGTTGTACCTCTTTTTTTCCCACTGACTTTCTA